TAAAAGTCTTAAAGTATCTGAAATGCCCTGTACTTCGAAATACTTAAGTAGAAAAGTATAGGCGACCTAGCTTTTTTTTTTTTTTTTTTTTTTTTTTAATACCACGCTGCTGTTGCGGGGGCCCTCCGAGGGGCGCGAGCCGCGTTGTTGGAGGGGGCCCCGAGGGCTGGAGGGGGCCCTCCGAGGGGCTGGAGGGGGCCCTCCGAGGGCTGGAGGGGCTGGAGGGGGCCCTCCGAGGGGCGCGAGCCGCGTCGTTGGCGGGGGCCCGCCGAGGGGCGGAAGCCGCGTTTTGAGCTGTGAATGATGTGTCAGCGCTAACTAAAGGCCGAAGGCCGCTGGTCTGCCGGATTACTAGGTAAGAATGTGTTAAAGACTGTCAGTGCTCCATCGCCAGGCATTTGAAAGATACTCACGTAGCGGATAAGAACGTTGAGCTTCACGCACAGCTGAAGTTCAGTCCGACATGAAATGGAAGGCTGGGGATGGCCGATGGCCGAGCGATAGAGAGAAGCTGTAGGAACACTTGGACAATGGTTATGCTGAACCGGCTGAGGGTGCAGAAAAGATAGTAGTGCCTTTCGTTTGGGAAGCTTATGAGGAGGTCGTAGTGGTCAGGGAAGGATTGGGAACGGACTAAGAAATTCGAACGATGCTAGGAAGGAAGCGGATGATGGGGGCGCTTGGTGAAAGACGACCCTTTGTAACGGAGATACCTTGACTAAGGATCGAGGAGAGACTAGATGATGTGCTAGATCGCTGAAGCGCTACACAGAAAATAATTCCGACAGGCAGAACTGGACGTGACAAGTTTGGATCAACAATCATCGAGACGGTGAGTGATGAAGGTGAGAACTGGACGTCTTAAAGTATCTGAGAGAGCTGGAGGAGTAAGGGAGACGGATTCATAACTGAGCAGGACTTGGTGACTGATTGCCGGACGACGTAAACGAGGAAGTAGTAGAAGGGCAAAACCCGATTTTGTGCCATTACGTGCTGAACACAGGAAGGGATATAGTGTCATTTAGTCGAGCGTTGGTTCTAAGAAGGATGGATCAGCTCAGGGAGAGTAATGGCCGTGAGTAGTGACAGGCAGCAAAGACCTGGCTTCTTTCATAGGCTGAGCGAGTTCTACGGGGACGCAGAAGAGGAAATGAATAAAAGGTATAAATCTTGATTGACATGATCGTCACTTCTAAATTTGTCCAGCAGATGGTAGCAGGAGACCATGAGAAGGCCATGAACTGCGTTATCATGAGCTTGAGACTTAAATTCCCATAATACATTCGAATTGCACGAATATACAAAAACTACTGAAATACTGGTGAGACTTATATTAATTTTCGGACTAGGCGATTATGCTAAATGCTTGTTTAGCGATGAGCGTGGGCTCTTAACGCCAGAGGTTGTTGGCAACTTGAGTTTAAGACAAACCGGTTCGCGCTGAATTCGGGAAGTAGAATAGCAGATGCGTACCCGACGCCTTAGAAAACATGTATTGCCTTAAGCGCCGCTCTCTGGTGGCCAGCGAGAGCCGCACGAGAGATCGACCAACTACGCGTATTTAAATGAAAAATAGGCAGAATTACGGGAGCTAAACGAGATACTCAGACAGCACAACCCCTAAATATAAAGAAGCAACAAAGAAACAAACCCTTATCGAACCAGACTTAACACCCGGACTCGTCCGTGACTTTAAAGAATCACGTCCTGTTTAAATAAGCTGAAGCTGTGGCAGACAGCCTGAGGGCCTCTGGGATTAGAGGGCAGGGTGTGCCGAGGAGCGACTGGGCTCCTGGCGGAATGGAGCGATCTAAGCCAGCAACTGAGGCGAGGGCTTCGGGGCCGGGCGGGGAATGCCGGAACGAAATGCTGAATTGAGAGCCGATTAGGCTGAGATGAGGTGAACCCAGCTCGCTGACTGCACTAAGCGTTCGGTTGTCCCTGAGACGTACAGATTGACCCGCCCAGGGGCGACATGAACATGCATTGAAGTGCTGGTGCACTGACTGAGAGCTGAGCGAACGGCTGATGAACGGACAGGAGCGGGTACGTCTTACCTGGCAACGCCCTCGATGGGCGGGAGAGGTTATGGTATGATGAGACTGAAGAGCCGGCTGGGAGCCGAGACACGGAAGTGAGCGCAGTGGTCCGGAGGCAGCGTACGCCCGGCGACGAACAGGAGGAGACCGTCCAGGTAATGGAGCCAGTTCATGATGAGACAGCAGAAACAGCAGGAGGAACCAAAGCAGGTCTTGGGGACAACCTGCGCACGACTGCGGGCAGCGTCAGAGAGCCGCAGCAATTGAACGATCGTGAGCCGGAGCAGGGAACCAGGCGGATGACGGAATGTGACCACGACATGAAAAGGGAAGATGTCCCGCTTCGACGCCGCCGATGGAGGCCGAAGGAAGGCTAGGAGCGGCAGTAGGATCTGTGAGGAGCCACTGGAAGATTAACGAAGTGCAGCCGGCGGCCAAGGGATGATTCCTGGACCTGAGCGGTGAAAGAAGGGAAGGACATCTACGGTGCTCTGCAGAGCAAAGTCGAAGCACAGCTGACGAGCAGGCAGATCCCCGGAAGCTCGTCTTCTTGAATGGACCAGCTTGACGTTGATTGGCTGGGACGCGCGAGGGCGCCGATCCTGATTGGCTGCAGCAGGGTGTGACGTGTTTGAAGAGGATCAGCTGTGATGTAGATCAGCTGTGTTCTGTCTCCAGCTTGAATTTACGCCTAAGCTCCATAAGTTGAATTTTGAAAGAAACTCTGGGTTTTTAAATATTTTATATCACACAAGTTACATGATCAACAACCTGATGTTACTACTGGCAAAAACCACAAAGAAGAAGATGACAGGAAGTAGTTGGAGGATCATGTATTTTTGTGTGAACAAACCTTTCCACTTGGGATTTTAATTTTGATTCTCAATTAATGAGAACACAACATTTGTGAATTTGTGCTTTTCTGAAATTTGTGGAATATTTACAAACTTTGTAAAGGAAATGCAGTTATTGACACCACACTTACCAGTACCACATTTATTGCTGTCAGTCCGTCTGAAGCTTATTTGGTTTTAGAATGAAATTAATCATGTAAACGAATTTGCCATTGCATCAAAAACAGAAAGCAGCTGCAGTTCAAATCATTTTCTAAACAGTTTTTCCAAAAATTAAAGTCAAATTCTGTAAAACAAAAATGTTGAAAATAAAAGTGAAAATTGCTGTAGCTAATGATTCAAAATAAAGTAATGTGCAAAGATTTAGACAAAATAACAGTGGATGGAAGCAGTTAAAAATCCCAATACGTAACTAGAAAGAGAGCAAAAAAAAAAACAATAAATAATTTTTATTTTGAAAAGATGAAAACTTTCATTTTTCTTCTTTAGATTTTGTACTTTACCTATCCTCATCCTCCAGACTCGCCAAATTTGTAGCCAATCATCAGCCTTCATTTGGCAGGAAGGTAAGGTGAATATCTGGCATTAAAATCCTGCAGAGTCGAGGCAAAGAGCCTCTGAATCAGCACTTCAGCCTGATTAACTTTTATTGAGACTTATTCTATTCAGCAACAATTAGCTCCACCATTGATTTGAATACATTCAGTAATTTACAAAGGTGACTTTATAAACTTTAATGCAAGTAATTAGTCATGTTTCACTGGCTTATTGTACTTCATGTGGTGCAATGAAAGTTTGATTAAAGCAAAACTAAGAGGGGATAAATAATATTGTTTTTAGCCAACTAAAGACAAACCTTAATTGAACTCTTACTGTTATGTACAATATATTAAATTACATTTAAAACTCTTTATAATGAAACAAAACAACAGGTATTATGACCTTCGTGAAACAATTATTTTATTTTCCATGGAGCTCAGTGGTTTGTTACAGCACGTTTGGAAGATCATAATATTTATAATTTAATATTTTTTATATTTTTTCTTTCTTCTATTGGTTTCCTTTTGTTCATCTAAGTAAAAACATTGAACAAACCCTGTAGCTTGTTAATTTTTGAGACAGTTAGTAAATGTTTAACAAAAGCTGAAATCTCTCAAGGTTTCCTAAACATTTATGTTGTTTTGTGACCATGCAAAATGAAAATAGCCTGAGGAAAACCCAATCCACTGACGGCTTTAGAAACTGTTGAATTATTTCTTTAACAGCACAGAAACATTAATTTGTGAATGCATACACAACATTAAGGTTTAATTTGTTGAACATTGTTCCATTAATTAAATTTTTTCTACCATGTAAAGGCAATTTACTCCAGCAGAAATGAAGGAAAAAGATTTTAAAAAGTGGTGAATGTGTTGGGGGTAAAATTACCATAAAGCTGCTATTGGAAATGATTCAGGTTATTATTATTATTATTATTATTATTATTATTATTATTATTATTATTATTATTATTATTATTATTATTATTATTATTATTATTATTATTATTATTATTATCAGTATTATTATTATTATTATTATTATTATTATTATTGTTATTATTAGTTGTTGTCATTTTGTCATGGGAATGAAACATGGAGGAAAGTAAAAATTAAAGGTGATCAAAATGAGATAAAAACAGCTCCGATTTTGGATCTGATTATTCTCAGTCATTCTGTTGATTCAGTTGGGAGAAAACCCGTTTCATGTTGTTATAGCAATGCATTTTCATTGGTTTATGATTCCCAGGCAGCATGGAAAATATTAAAATCCATTATCCATCCATTCATCCATTCATTCATTCATTCTCAAGTTGTCATTCATCCATCTGTTCAATGGTCCATTTGTCCACCAACCTTTCATTCACTCAATCAGTTTGTTATTAATTTGTCAATTTGTTGATTTGTTGGTTCGTTCATCCATCCATCCTGAAGTACATCCAACCATCTATTCATCTATTTATTCATCCATTCATCCATCCATGCATGCATTCTATTTAGACGTCCTGGGTAAATTCTGGAGAGCTTGTAGGAACCGGGTCAACGTGTTTCTTTCCTGCCCCCCTCAGGCATCGTCTCCCTGATCTCCCTGGCCGTTCTGTCCTACGAGCGTCACTGCACCATGATGACGCCCACCATGGCGGACGGCAGGGACTTCCGGCCGGTGCTGGCAGGGATCTGCTTCTCCTGGCTGTACTCCGTGGCCTGGACGGTGCCGCCGCTGCTGGGCTGGAGCCGCTACGGCCCCGAGGGGCCCGGCACCACCTGCTCTGTTGACTGGAAGACCCAAACTCCAAACAACATCTCCTACATCATCAGCCTTTTCACCTTCTGCCTTGCCTTGCCGTTCGCCGTCATAGTCTACTCCTACGGGAAGCTGCTGTTCACAATCAGACAGGTGAGATGCTGCAAGGTGACTGCGCTGCTCTCTTTCCATAGAATAAGAAACTAAAATCATACATGGATAAGAAAGCAGCTCTGAGATAAGACATTTTTAATTTAGTGCACTACCTTGTCACTACCTCAACTAAATCATCAAAAGCAAGTTTGAATGCAGACCCGATAAGAGAGTCAGAAATATTCAAACATTTCAAAGACAAACTTGAAATCTGAGAAATGCCACGACCGGAGAATCAGATTTGACATCTTCACATCGCAGCCATGAAAGCTTAAACATTCATGTTTGTCTGGTCCTGAACTCTGCAGCATCTGACGCTCCCGCCCATTAAGCCGTACAGAGATTAATACGTGTCTGAAGCTGCGACTTTAATGACATTTAATTTGCAGAAATGGCACAGATGAGTTGAAAGACGGCATAATGAACTTTAATAATCATGCTGCATTAGTACGGGATTCGGTCATAACGACCTTAACTCTGTGATGCATCGACGCAGAAAGTAGTAAGAAACTTTCTTCAAAGATTTTGGATCATATCAATTACTCCTTAAGTGGCAGTTCAGCTACACCTGGTTAAAAGAAAGGTTTAAACCACTTAGCCACCGGGAAATGGATACCTAACTTTCGGGAATGTACTCGTTCATTTCCGGGAAGGGTGTATTTACTTCCGGGAAGTGAAATAACCACTTTTCGAAAGTAACCCAATTTGTCTAAAAATGCATCATCAATACCAAGAGTTTTGATGATGCATTTTCTGGGAAGTAACCCAATCATTTCCGGGAAATGTTTCTTTCACTTCCGGAAAATAACCCCTTCACTACCGGAAAGAAATTCATTCACTTCCGGGAAGTAACCATATCATTTCTGGGAAATAACTATTCACTTATTGTTAAAAAAGACTTCCCGGAAGTAAATAGTTACTTCCCGGAAGTGAATAGTTTTTTCCCGGAAGTAAAAAAAATCTTCCCGGAAGTAACTATTTACTTCCCGGAAGTGAAAAAAGACTTCCCGGAGGTACATAGTTACTTCCCGGAAGTAGAAAAACAATTCCCGGAAGTAAATACCTACTTCCGGGAATTATTTTTTCACTTCCAGGAAGTAACTCTTCACTTCCGGGAAGTAACTCTTCACTTCCGGGAAAAACCATTTACTTCCGGGAATTGTGTTTCCACTTCCGGGAAGTAACTATTTACTTCCGGGAAGTCTTTTTTCCACTACTTTTGGGAAGTAATCATTCACTTTCGGGAAGTAACCCCTACACTTCCGGAAAGTGTGCACTTCGTTCCGGGAAGTAATCCCTTCAATTCCGGGAAGAAACCACTTAACCACCGGGAAAAAAATACCTAACTTCCGGGAAGTAACTCCTTTGCTTCTGGGAAGTGACTCCTTCACTTCCGGAAGCCTCCTATCCATAAGTGGTGCATCATACTAGAATTAACTATATTTCTTTAAGCATGTTTTGAATTAGTTTTTAGATCCAAAGTTATAGTTATTATTTAGCATTAGATTTTGTTTCAGTAAAACAGAAACACGTTCTAGTTCAATCACTGAGGCAGAAAACCAAAACAGACATAGGTCATAAGTTTAACCGAGGGAGAGTTCGCAGCAGATGCCTGGTACGCCAAAGACCCAGTTTGACAATCCTTTGTGGCGATAATTTGTTATCAACACTTTAAACCACTGCAACAATTAAAACAATTCACTTCTCTTATGTAAATAACAAAAAGAAACATAAACCGAAAACCAAAACAACACAATGAAGTTATTTACTGTAAAACAAGTGCAACTAGTAATTAACGTGGACTTGGATTTATACTGTATTTTGTTGTACTATTGTAATGATAATAAAAATTGTAATTAAAATGTATTTATTACTTATTTTTTAGGTAATCGAATGGTATTTACTGCTCTAGAAAAACATTCCTGTTTAAATTAAGCTTTTTCAGGACACCACATACTTAAAGAAATGTGACAATAAATGCACATAAAAACTTTATTTAATCATATTTTTTAATTTACTTATTTTTTCTGATGCTTTTGTGGAAAAAATAGGGGAGAAAGGACATTTTAGTCAGAATTTTTTGACAAATTTATCTTGGATCCAAATTCTTATAATGACAAGGAACTTTTCACAATAAATGATAAATAATATGACAATTTATCTAAATGTGCAAATAGATGTATGTTTTTAGTTGCTAGAAGACTTTCTATTTAACTGGATCCATTTTTGACACACATACCAGTTTGCATGTGGACTCTGTCCCCTTCGTGTCTCTTGGCATACTTTCTTATGGCTGATGATGAATCCGTTCTACTTGAAGTTTTTTCCACTGCCAAAACCCGTAACATGCTGTAAGGACTATAAATATATTCCTTCTGGCCTGGAGATTTCTCAGGATTTCTGACAGAAAGATCCAGACTCTTGCTTGAGTCTCGGTTCTGGTGGCTGATGGATGAATTGCTGCGTAACGTTTGACTTTTGTTTCCAACCTTGAATCCATTCTTTCATTATAAATACCTGTGCAGGGGAGACCAGTGTGTAGATAATTGTGAATGGACGGGTCACCAGTCCATTGCGGATCAATCCTTTCATATTATGATGCAGAACGTGTCAGTAGCTCTTGTCTTGTCACTTTACAAAAGCTTTGGCTTCCTTTTTGTCAAGAGCTTTGACTGCATTGCATAACAAAAACAAAGAAAGACGGTAGGAATGCTGGAAATAATTCAATATTTTATCTTCCTGACTTTAGTTGTTCTGATAAAAAAGACGGATTAAGAGGAAGGTGAATTTCAAAGGGGACCTAATATGCAAAATTCACATTTTTCACATTTTTGTGATTCCGTTTGGGTTTCTACCGCTTCTAATAATCCGCCCAGCTGTTTCTTGAGAATAAATTAATGTTTTTTGGTGTCTGGAAAACAAGCCGTTTCTAAAAGCAGGCACTGTTACCTAGCAACCCCAACGGAACTCTGCCTGTTACCTAGCAACCTAAGCTGAGGTCCAGAAGGTTTGGTCAGCTGGTTTTACTGCTGTATGTGCTGTAGAATGGCTGCTGAACATTGCACCGTCAGATAATGGAGTAAATCTGTGGGACGTGTCTTAAACACTATTTCTCTCGGTTAATCTTTATAACTTCTAGAATGATGGTGCTTTAAAGGGGATATTTTGTGGAAAATGGACGTTCTTTACATTTTTGTATTTCCTTCTCGGTCCCTACTGCTTCTAAAAACAACATTAACGCTGAAAATAAAACAACCGGCTGGGTTCTGGCAATAAGTTGATATTTTTTGTTGTCTGGAAAATTTGCCATCTCAAAAACTTGGAGAATGTAACATCACAAATATGCAGTCAAGTTGAGCTACGGCACATTTGGTCAGCTGGTTTTATCGTCATATGCACTCCTGATAAAGACAAGTATTATGTTGTTATTTTACCATCCAGAAACCACTTGCCGGATACTTGTTGGTTGTGCAGGAGGCTCCTCTTCTGCTTTTCAGAGCTATTTTAGAACCCAAGAGGCCCTAAAGCAGCTGATTTTGAAAGGAGCTCAAAATAGGCAGAGCTGACCAGGCTAAAATCTCATTGTCTGAGAAGCATTTTGTGCAGGAAATGTTTTGTCTAGCCAATAAACCTGTTCAAGAAACTATCACAGGTCACCTTTAAAACGGTCAATGTGACGATTGGGAGCAGTACAGTATTGCTGACGGTCATTACAGCCTGCCAAGGATCCTCATTAAACCTCAAGGCCACAGACCTCGTGACCCATCATCATGAAATAATCTGTCTCACGCCACCAGTGGTGACCCAGAGCCAATTGTCTCTACAAGTGAGGCAATTTCCATCAACCTGTGGAGGAGAGAAAATCACGCAGCAAAGCCACTGAAATGTCAGTTTTAAGATCACTGTGTGGGCCGAGTACAACTGCTGCTGCTCACATCTGTTCTGCTGTGACTAACATCCAATCTGAGGTGAATAATTAACTTACACAGAAAGGTTGTTACCAGAATCTCTAATATATCAATGTTGCTGCACAAACCTTTAGTTTCATCTAAAGGTGGCCAGTCCAACTTCACTCAGATCATCTTGCCCAGATGAATACTCTTTAACATTTAAGCTCTACTTTGTTTCTGGCTATAACATAAAATCACAATGTAATACACTTTTAAAAGACTGTATACATGATTGTTTTGTTGAGAATGTTCATTTTTTGGCTTATAGACAAACTACAAATGATCTTTTGCCTCAGGCTGAGTAGGTGTTTCTCTTTGTTTACAGCATTTCTTCTTTATGCTGATCAGTCTGCATGTTGACAACTTAATGAGACATATTTCAACTCATCCGTCTCCTACATCTGTTTACCTTCTTTTTTTGCATGATAGACACTTTATGTGCATCATTCAACTTCAAGTTAGTTTTTTTTTTTTGCAGGCCCTCTGTTTCATTCATTCCCAGTGGACGAGAAACTAACTTGGCCACTCCATTTTCCAGTTTATGTGCTGTGCTTCCTTTGATCTTGCACAAAGCTCTCCTATAAAATTTGCAAGGTTGCAGTTTTAAAGAATGAGTGACTCTCAGAACTAGATGTAATATAAAGCGAAACTCCAGTTATAATTGAGAAATTCCTTTTCCTTAAAAGCAGAAAGATCTGATCCTGCATGAAATATTGCAACAGTCACATTAGAAACTAGGAACAACATGGCAGACCTACAGTCATGCAGGTCCAGTTTTAAAAAATCTGTTTATAAAATTGGTTATTTTGTTGATCAATACCTCTGTTTGTAAGTCTGTAATGTTTGTCTTGTATGCACTCTTGAATAAAAAAAAAGACAAACCCTAAGCGTCAAAAAGCTGCAGTGAAAACTGGTGCATGCCACACTTTTCAGATTTTAATTTGTACAAAAAATATATATACACATTTTTATTTGAATTTAAAATCAGTCTTAAATAAAAAAGATGCAAAAACTCAAATCTTATTAAGTATTTTAGGTCTAGTTTACAGT